CCCCCCCCTCCCGGACTCACCCCTCAGAGGCAACCCCTGCCCCTGACTCACCCCTTGAAGGCCACGGGCAGGATGTGCAGGTCCCCGCTGATGGTGGTGCAGTTGCGGAAGTGCCTGATGTTGGTGGCGTTGATGGACAGGGTGTCTCTAAACTCCCCGATCCCTATCCCGTTACACACTGTGGAGGGGGGCGGCGCGGAGGAGGCGGGGGGCGAGAGCGAAGCCGTGAGACTGTCACTGCCCAACCAGCGCCGACCTGTGTGGGGCTCCCATTGGTACCCTAACCACACCTCCGCCTTCCTACCACCCTGAGCCAGCTGTGGCCTTGTCTTCCATCTGAGAGAAAACACACACACGGTTTTTTAAATCAAAAAGCAAGATGCAGTCCAGCCAGGGTGGCTCAGTGGTTGAGCACTGACCAATGAAACCAGGAGGTCACGGTTCAATTTCTGGTCAGGGCACATGCCCGGGTTGTGGGCTCCATCCCCAGTGTGGGGAGTGTGCAGGAGGCAGCCAATTAATGATTCTCTGTCCTCACTGATGTTTCTATCTCTCTCTCCCCCCCCCTTCCTCTCTGAAATAAATTAAAAAAAATAATAAAAAAGATGAGCAAGTTTGTGCGCAGGGCCTATGGATGCCTCCTGTACAACGATCGCACTTTCGGGGTGTGTGTGTGAAAATTTACAGAATAAAAGATAAAGTAGGGGGTCAGCAGGGATAGGTTGGCCTGGAGGGTACTCCAGGGACAGGGCACAGAATAAAGGAAGGAAGGGATTGCTGAGCCAGAGAGAGAGTCACTGGAACCTCTCCCAGTGCCGCTGAGGAACCTGGCGGGGCGGGGGCACCCAGCCCAGGGCCAGGGAAGCTGTGTCCCCACGCCGCGCCCACGCGGGCTCCTACCTTTGCGACAGGGCCCTTCGCACTTCTTGCACTTGCGGACGCCGTCTTCCTCCACCTCGTGGCTGTCGGAGCTGCAGGCCCGCACGCAGGAGCCGTGGTCGGTCACCACGTAGTTCCCTGTGGCGGGGGTGTGGGGGGAGGCAGGTGTAAACGGGGCGCCAGGTGTCTCTGGGGTCGTGTCCTCCTGAATCGTGGCTGATGACAGGGCCCGTCATCCTCTCATTTTGTTTATTTTAAGGACAAAGAAGGGAAGGCTGCAGACTGAAAAGGAATCGCGCTCAAGAGCTATCATCACTTCCCAGGCCCTGATGGCAAACAGATCCTCATCCCAGGCGGAGCGGATGTGCGGGAGCAGCAGCCCCCAGGCTTAGAGCTCTCTTCCCCACTTTTTTTTTTTTTTTAGGTTTTACCTCCAGGACTTACGATCGAAGCTTGAATCTTTATTAAAAATACGTGAGCCCAGCTGGTGTGGCTCAGAGGTTGAGCATGGACCTATGAACTAGAAAGTCAGGGTTCGATTCCCGGTCAGGGCACAGGCCCGCGTTGTGGGCTCGCTCCCCAGTGTGGGGCGTGCAGGTGGCAGCCAATCCATAATTCTCTCTCATCATGATGTTTCTCTCTATCCCTCTCCCTTCCTCTCTGAAATCAATAAAAACATATTAAAAAAAATACACAAGCCTGAACGACTCCACTCCCCTCGACGCGGCCTCGAGGCTGGGTCTACTCCCGGGGCTGTGGCCTGCCTCGCGGCCTGTGCCTGGCGGGGCCTCGGGGAGCTGGACCGGCACCTCCGCCCTCTCCTGGCCCCTCGCCTCACGGTGCACATGGGGCTCGTATCCACACAGACGTCACTCTCTCCAGCGGCCTCTGCCTGCTTGGGCCCCAAGCCGACCTCACACCCCTCCCCGGGCTGCTCCTCCTCCTGAGACGTGCCTGCTGCGTCCGGGGCTCTGTGCTTCCTCGGGGTCGTCACCCCCTTGCCAGCCCTCTCCCAGGGCCATGTCTGCCACATCGGACGAGGACGTCCTCATCCCGTCACTCCCTGCCTGTGGCCATCCCTCCACCTCCCTGTCATTTCCTTCTGCCCAGAAGGTGAACATTCTCATCTCCGCAGCCCGCAGGGCTCTCCCTCTGCCGCTGCTTGTGGACACTTCTCCTCACTCCCTCTCCCCCGAGAAGTCAAGGCCGGTCCTACGCGCGTGAACTAGACAACCCCGTGCTTCCTCGATGCGGCCGGGGCTGCTGTCACCACTTCCTAGAGCTGCGGACCAGTCCCTGCGTATGCAAGTGAGCAAAACCCAGCGAGGGCAACAAAGCAGCAGGCGACAGTCCCCCCAAGGGCCCAGGCCCCCACTATCCACTGAGCAGAGGCAGCTCTGACACCCCCTGCTGGGGCCGATCACACACCTCCCTCCTGGGTGCAGGAGACAAACGGCAAAGCGGCCCAGTGGCCGCGGGGTTAGGCCCACCAGACAGCTCACTGCCCTGGACCTCAGTTCCAGGGGCTGCCCATCACCCGCGGCAGGGACCTACCCTGTCACCTGTGGCATAACCTGCCTGTCACCTGTGGCATAACCTGCCTGTCACCTGCATTCGGATGGGCCCTGGCCACATGCCTGACAATGAGGCACATGCCGACCAGACACTGCCTGAGCCGGGGACTCAGGGTTCCCGTAGGAGGCGCAGGGGAAACGGATGCTGGAGCCTGAAAGGCGTGGCGGGCGAGGACTCACGGGGACACTTCTTCACACAGGTGGCGCCGAAGCTGTATTTGCCGTCGGGGTTGACGTCCATCTGGTAGGTGGTGGGGTTGTACAGCATGAGCGGCGGGCAGGTGTCCTTGCAGGTGGCGCCATCCCGGAACCGGCGGCAGACCTACAGGAGGCACGGACACAGGACATCGGAGCAGCTGCCTCGCTGCCCCGGACCTCGGACCGGGTCATGTTAAATGGGCGACCACCTTTGGGCCTAAAGGACAGTGTTTCCCAGAGCGCTGTGAGCGGAGAGCGAGGGAGCAGAGGCGGACAGTGAGGAACAGTGCTAGCGTTCTGTCACTACGGCAGCTTTTCTGCCAATAGCAAGCCCTCCTGCTCTGGATGCATAAAACCCATGGCTTGGTCTCCTCCTGGGACACTGGCTTCTGCCTGAATCAGCGCTTCCCAAATCTCGTTCTCTCTCTCTCTCTCTCTCTCTCTCTCTCTCTCTCACTTTGAAGCCTTTTGTTTTTGCCGACCGGCGCAGGTTGAGTGGAGGCCGTTGGGTTCTGCCTGGAGGCCTCGGTTATGCTCCGGTGTCGCTTAGAGCGGATGGCCCAGCACCGTGCGCAGCACAGCGGGAGAGACCTTCCTCTCAGGGGCGTGGCTTTTCTGAAACACGTGTCCCGACTGCGAGCCTTTACGATCGTGGGGAGAGGAGAATGCACATCTCCATTCGTGGGCAGAACGACACAGAGCTCGCACGCTGGGCGGAACCACGACAGTGTTCTGCTCACGCTCCATTCACGCGGCTGCCTTTACAGAGGGCACTGCGGGGGCGGCTCGGTACTGCCCGCCGCCGGGGCCCTCGCCTGGCAGCAGGCCGCCTGCAAGGACCAGGCCAAACGGGGCGCTGCCTCGCAGCCCCGCCCGCCGTCGCTGACTGCAGGGCTCACACCAGCCTGGGGCTCAGGACTTCCAAGGTGCTCACCCTCGGGGGCAGCTGCATGGCCCCGTCACCCCCCGGGCAACACGGATTTCGTTAGGGCTTCCCGCAGTCCCGGGACAGACGGGAGCACCCTAAGACCCCTGCGTGGGGTGCCGGCAACCTCTGAGCCGTGGTGGGAAGAGCAGAGCCCTCGGGGCCCTGGACCCCCTCTAAGTCTCCGTGGCTCATTCTCCTTAACGATAAACCACACGTATTTAGTCCTCGGTGCTCGTTCTATGCCTGGGGCCTCGTACAAACACCACATGCTCTATGTCCCGTGGACCATGTAACAGAGAGGCACTCTATGCACCACTCAGCCGAGGAGATCGGAGCACAGAGGTCACAGCCTCGGCCCAAGGTCACAGAGGGAGGGGGGAGGTAGGGTGATGACAGAGGCTCTGGTCCCAGGAAGGGCGGCGTCCTCGCCTGCTACCACAGACAGTAATCCACACACCGCAGCCACGGAAGCCGCCCACGGGGGCTGGGGGGGGGCAGTGCCCGGCACCCACGGGGGG